GTCTGTAGATAAGCTTCATTTATTTAGACGTTTTTATATTCTAATATGATCATTACAAGTACTGAATTATCATACTGTACCCCATAAATATGAATACTATTATATGTCAATTAAATTTTTTAAAGAAATATTTCCAGAGTTCTGTTTTATTGTTTTTGTTGTTTGGTGCTGGGGATTGAACCCAGGGCCTCAAGTGTACTATTCTAGTACACTAGAATACTAGGCTGCATCCTAAGCCCCATCTCCAGATTGCTTGTTAGAAAGAAAACAGCAGGTATCATAAATAGAAATCACAATAGTGATGGTAGTGATGATGATGGTGATGATAATGATAACATAGTGGTGATAATAACAACTCCAATTTATTGATCTATAGCTAAGGATCACTAAATATGTGGCTATGTCCTTCCATTCATGGCTCAATATTGTGGGAATCCCAAGTTTCTTTGGGGATCATTCAAATCAGTCCTCATTTGGTCCAAAAGTTTAAAACTCTGAGAAAGTCTGAATGTGATCTGGGGACCAATATACATCTCAAATCTTTTTTCAAACTATTATGGTTCATTATACATTACTAATGTTTAGTAATTAAAAACACAAATTATTTACTAGGTTAAAGTAAATAACTTGGCTAACATTTTTTGGCTTAGTTTGGCTATATCTAAATTTCACCTCTAGAAGATGAAGAGATATTGCTTACTTCACCAAATGTCGTCCAAGGGAGAAGATAAAAGAATAATTATAAGTGGTGGGCATGTGGCGCAACCACTGCAAGTTCAAACCCAGCCACAGCAATTTAGCGAGTCCCTAAGCAATTTAGCAAGACCCTATCTCTAAATTTTTTTTTTAAATGGATGATTTGGCTTAGTGGTTGAACACTCCTGGATTCAATCCCTGGTACCGATACTAATAATAGGTGCACCCAGTTTTTAGATTTGAAAGGCTAGTTCTCAAAGTAATTACCAAGCGTGAAGAGAAAATGTTATAAAAGTTAATTTCCCTGAGTTTGTAAAGAACATACGCTAATGATTTAATTCTATACACATCCTTATTTATTAACATCAAAAGATCTTTTACCTCCATCCGATTCAAGTCACGTGGTTGTTGGTTTGCTGACATTGATTCAGAATAAGACTCAAATAATGCACAGTCCCACTTGGGCTTAGGAAAAGCTAAGAAGAAAGAAAAGAGAATATTTACTGTAGCCAGAGTAGTGTTTCTAATCATGTTTCTGAACTTGTTATGTATAACAACAAAATCTGTTCACTCCTATGTACTACCTATAAAACAATCATGTTGAAGTAGTATTTTAAGTTCTTTACAAATGCAACCCAGTACTTCTATTACCCCCACTTCACATGTGAAAAACTGAGGAACAGGGAAGTGAAGTGATTTACTCAAATTCATATAGGTAATAAATGAAGATCAAAAACTTTAACTCCTTCAAGTCCAGCAAGAGTTCATGCTCTTAGCACTCCATGTTACAACTGAGTAGTTGTTTTCCAAAGTAACCATCACTATCACAATATATTGTCTTAACTATGCCACTAGCATAAGTTTTAATTGTAGTAACTATGGTGATAGTTCAAATACTATAAACATAAGTTAAGGGAAATACTTCATTTTAGTTATTACTGGAAATAAACATGATCTTATAATGATGTAAATCTTATGACTAAGATAACTTTATGAAGTAATTACCTCTTTGTTTAGCAGAACCAACAAAAATAAAAAGCAAAAAATCTTGGTGATTTACAAGGAAAGAAGAATCACATTATGAGTTTCTTCTAACATATAAAAATGACAGTGGCTATTAATTGGGTAGCAGAGTGAATTTGCATCAGGGAAAACCATGATACTTGGGATAAATTAATAACCTAAAAGTCAGGCTATTTTTTAGAAAAAGAATCTGCTTCACTACTTTGTCGCAAAGTAGCTAGGAAGGAAATAACAGTTAGAAACTTTGTCAGTATCCTAAAAAGGAAAAGCAGACTGGGGTAGATAATAAACAGAAGCTACAAATCAAATTTGTCAAGAAAAGCTACTAAGGAGTCAAATTTTAATGCAACATTTTAAAAAGACTTTTTGAATCAAATATGAACAATGGATTGGCATTGTTTTTAATCTTTACCCACTTTCCTGCCCCAGTAGGGAGTGAGATGCAAACATCACTTTGCAATAAAGGACTGGCCCAACTCTCAGCTACCACACGGAGTTGAATATAAGCACTTTAATTTATTCATTTGCTTGTTCTGCTCTGAATTTCACTGAATTTCAAATGGGGCAAATTAGACTTTTCTAACCACACCTGCTGGTCTGTTTCCTTGACTAAAAACTCAACAAAACACCTTTCAAAGCCCCGTTCTTCAATTCAGTCCCAAGAACAGTTTTAAACAACACCAGATTTATTTTTCTAGTCTACCAATCAGTCCTCTGACGAGATCTTGGAGGTCAATGCCTTATCATGAAAGGACTTATGCAGAAAGCTAACATTTTCAAAAACTACAAGAGACAACACTTAACTGCAAAATCTCTCTTCAATGTATCTACATCTCTCCATCTCCACCATCACTTCCCCAGTGCAAGACCCCTGCTGCTCCTGATTGAACTGCTACCTTAGCTGGGTCTTAGTTTCCACCCTTGCCCCTCAAAACCTGTCCTCTAGAGGGCAATCAGCAGGATCATTTCAAACAGGATTCCGTCACTTTCCTGCCAAATACAGATCAATATTATTGCCCTCAATTTGTTCCCTACCTTCCTTGTCAGCTTCATCCAAACCTCTATTCCTCTGTGAACTTCAGCTAGAGGCCTACAATTTCTATTTCTCTTGTGCTCTAAGCCCCCTGTCAGTGCCTCTCCAGCATATATGCTGCTCCCTCTTCCCAGCGCCCCCTCCTCCTTCTTAGCCTCCAGAACCTTCCCTAGTTCATTCTTCACATCTCATCTCAAAGGAGATCTCCCCTAAAGTTATGCACTCTCTTTAAATTCAATTGGATTTCTCCTTCACAGCACTTATCCCTGGTTCCAATGACATAATCTTTGAGTTTATTTAACATCTATCTTATAATTGCCCACACATTCTATGCAGGTAGGCACTCTTATTCTCTGCATTCAGATCACAGAGAATAACAGAGTGTCACATACATAGTAAATGCTTGATATTTTGTTTACAAACTAGACAGCAAAAAAATTATATAAGAATTCACCCAATTACCAAAACATTGAGTATCAAACAGCTTATGGGTAATCTGCCAAACAATTCAATTTATACTTCTAATTCTGCCTTTTAATTTTCACTGTTAGGGAAATGGGATTATTCCCATAATTACAAGTAAAATGACATCAGATACAATTTCAGTTTCATTATTTATAGTTTTCAACAATCTTGTCAAAAACTGGATTAATGTTTTAAAAGACTGAATATAAATCAATCAGGAAAATGTTGGAATGAGTAAAGAGCTAAGCTTCAGAAAAAAGCTAAGTGGGATTTAAAAAAATGAATAGGACCACTCATATTTTCAGAGTCTAAAAGCATAGAGAATACCTAAATGGCTATGGCCTTTTCTTGAGTTTCATACTAGGATAAATATGACTAATAAAGTGTTTAAAAATTAACTGCTAAATCCTCAGAACTTACCTAAAATACACTGTTACTGAGCATGATAGGAGTTTATGAGGTCTCTCATGTTTTCTGTTAGAACTATATAATTATTATTCAATATTCAATATTAAGCCCACAATCCCTGGAAAGGATGGGTGATTTTTGTTTAATCGGAGGTTATATGATGGATTTTTCAGTTGTTTCTGTATAAATGCATGCTGACAGACTCCAGTAGAAAATAAACAAGGGGCTTCATTCCAAACGATGAAAGATATCTCTTGATTGGCATTCTTATTTTGACATACTGGGGATTAAACACAGCGGTACTTTAGCACTGAGGTACGCCTTCAACCCTTTTTTATTTTGAGACAGGGTCTTGCTAAGTTACCAAGCTGGCCTCAAACCTGCAATCTTCCTACCTCAGCCTCTCAAACATGGCTCTCTGTTTTACAGCCTCACCTCTACTGAATAAGCAAGTCATAAGATGCCATTTACAGCAATAAAAGAATCAAGAGGTTATTTTTCTTCTATTAACAACTTGTACCTTGGAGATATCAGATTTCTAAAAATTATATCAGTGACTTTTGAAACAGTCCATGAAATACTTGGACACCTACAAAGTGACTTCTCAAATAAAGAGACAGGACATGTGGATAGGTTCCATGGCCACATGGCTTCAGAACAATAAAACAGCATTAATCAAGACACCAAAATGCTGCTGAGCATGATGCTGCACAACTGTGATCCCAGCTACTCAGGAGGCTAAAGAAAGAGGATTAAGAGTTCCAGGCAAAGCAGGGTATCTTAATGAGACCCTATCTCAATTTAAAAAAAAAATTAATTGAAAAAAAGGGAGGTTGTGGTTCAATGGTAGAGTGCTCGTCTAGCATGTGTGAGGCACTGGGTTAAATTCTCAGCACTGCATAGAAATAAATGAATAAAATAAAAAAGTCCACCAACATCTAAAATATATATTTTTAAAAAATAGGCAAGGATGGTCCCTAGGACTCTTACCAGGGATCAAAAGAGAAAACTGTGAAGGTATTGAGTGCTACTAAATAACCTTGGAGCAGATCTTGGCCTTTAGCCAGCTGTTAACCTCCAGGTGGCCCCACTCCTAAGAGAAGCAGATCTCTCTATAACCCTATACTACCCTCATAATATAATCCATGCAGTTCCCAAGACAGCCCCATGTTATGAATTGGATATGAAGAAGCCCCCAAAGGTCCATGTTTGAAACAATGCAGGAATGTTCAGGAGTAGAATGATTAGATTATGAGAGCTGTAACCTAATCAGCAGATTGATCCATCTGATGGATTAATAATGAGTGGATTAATGGGTGGTAGCTATAGGCAAGTAGGGTATGACTAGAGGAAGCAGGTCTCAAGGGGTGGGCCCTTGGAGATTTCATTATCCCTGGATCCTTGAACTAAGCTCTCTCTGCTTCCTGGCTGTTATAAACTGAGCAGTTTTCCTCCACCATGCCCTTCTGCCATGATGTTCTATCCCACCTCAGGCCCAAAGCTATGAAGTTGATCCACCATGGGCCAAACCTCTGAAATCATGAGTCAAATAAACTTTTCCTCCTCTAAGTTGTTCATGTTGGGACTTTTGGTCATAGCAATGAGAAACTGACAAATACATCCCAGGAATGTCAGGGTTTCTGGGCCACAATCAAAAAGAAAGGAGAGACAGAGAGACAAAGAGGAAAGAGAAGTTTACCATACCATGTACTTAAAAGTTAACTCCTGGGGATTCATAAGGGTCTTCCCTAGCCTTGAAGGAAGGGCAGCAGGCTAGAGTAAGCAGAGAGCAGCTGTATTAGCAAAGTCCCCTACCTGAAATCAGTAGTCATTTTTACTCTCTGATCTCTCACTTTTGTACATTTTATGGGGCATTTAAAAAAATCCCAGAATGGGTCACTCAACGGATTATATTTACCTGTTACTGGCACCAGCAATGCAGTTTCTTTCCTTTGGTTGACTCCCTACCCGCTATCTAATATAGAAAATAATACTCTTTTCATTGAAGAGTCAGAGACAGCAAGACTGACTTAAATGAGACATTTGCCCTTTGATTTGGTATCACCATGAAAAGGAAACACAATATAAGGCCTTTTCCAGAAACACTCATGAAAGAATACTCTAGTTATGAGTGGTTAGTTTCTTTAGATACCACTCCCTCTTACCAATAATCACCTGTGACTAAGCTCTCATTTTTTTAAGGGGGCTTCCCTAAAAAATGAGAAAGGTGAATGCTCTAGGTGAACAGCTGGAACTTTTCAATAGAAACTACACTTCTCTAATAATGGAAATCATACCAGTGCCCACTGCCTTTGATAAGGGCAAGAGATACTTTATTTTTCTAATCTCTTAAAGGAACTGACACAAATGTTGGATTCACCATGACTCTCTCCTATCCAAAGGGTTCAAAACAGTTGTTTGGGGTATTTTATTAGGCATAAAAACAGAGTCCTGCCGGGCGGGGTGGCACTGGCCTTTAATCTCAGCAGCTCAAAGCCAGCCTCAGCAATATTGAGGCACTAAGCAACTCAGTGAGACCATGTCTGAAAATAAAATACAAAATAGGACTGGGGGGAGGGGGACATGGCTGTAGCTGAGTGGTAAAGCTCTAGCCTGGCACACGTGAGGCACCGAGTTCAATCCTCAGCACCACATAAAAATAAAATAAAGGTATTTGTCCATCTACAACTAAACAATATATATTTTAAAAGAAGAAGAAGAACTGGGGATGTGGCTCAGTGGTCAAGTGCCTCTGAGTTCAATCCCGAGATACCCCCCTGCCAAAAAAAGAGAGTCCTATTCTAGAGATACTGAGAGTGTCTCAAGATGCCAAGTCAACACTTGGCTCTACAAGATCTTGTTCTTCACTATGTATCATACGAGAGGTTTGATATTTGTCTATTCTGCAACTGTTACAAAGGATAATGACTTCAGTCCCAATCCATAGGGAACTAAAATGGGAAGAACAGATGATTCCCACTTAGCCAGTTTAGCCCTATTATTCATGTCATAAGATATGAAAGTCTAATGTAATGTAAAGAAAACTGCAGATACCAAGGACTCCCCATGTTTCTCATATCTGGACATGAGATTAAGAAATAAAAAGTTTTTATTAGACCTCCATGGAAAGTGCTTAAAGTTTATGATGTACAATAGGCCTTACCTGCTTGCAGGTACTCGGGCTGCAAAGTTGGAGGGAGGCCCTCAGGTAGTGGGTAGCCGTTCTTTCGAGCCACAATGAGATGAAATGCAGCGCAGAACTCAGGCAAAGTCAGGGCTCCATCACAGTCAGCATCACTAAGTTCCCTAAATAGAACAGATGTCAGAAATACCTGCCATGAGGCTTCAGGCTCAAACATGCAAACACAACTCCCAGGCTCTCTGGTGGCAGTCCCTAAGCCCTCCTGGCTAAACCCATTTGATGGCTGCCATACCACCACAGTTGGGACTCAAAACTGGCTAAACTCGTTTGAAACCTCAGGGGGCCACTCAGAGAAAGAAAAAAAAAAAGCTAATTAATAGCATCAGCATCAGTAGCATTTTATAAATAAAAATTTAAATTCTTTTGGCTCTCCAACAGTTCTATTTTACAACATTGTAAAGGTGGCACAACAAACTGTAGCACAAAAAGAAAAGGAATACCTAGAATTCCACGCTTAGATGACAATCGCTTAGATGACAATCGTTCAGTAAATGCAGGCGGAATGAAGCAAAGAGCCCTGGAGGTGTTACTCAAAACAGGCACAGGAAGGGTGTATGCAGACATTATGCAGTTTACCCAGAGCACAGAAATAGGTGTTTCATTTTCCAGCTTTAAGAGAAAGCCTTGAACTTTTAAAATCACGTAAATTTTTGCAACAAACTGTTCTTTGCTTGAGAATTCCCTCTCTTGAGAAAATACAAATTGGCTCAATAAATATTGACTGAATTATGTTTTAAGATAAAACTAGCAACTAGGGAAGGCTGGAACCAGATAAGACAAAAAAGAAGAAAAGGGGAGTCTTGAAAAGACTTATTTGTGCTTCAATCACAGTTCCCACTACAAGGCACAGACCGTTTTACTCAGCACAAAAGAAATCTCTCTGCCAAAGGAACTAAGACCCCATAAGCACTAGCATCTGTTATATGTACAGATTCTTGCATCAGGACAAGCATAGAGATAAAGACTTATACAAAATTGTACTAGAAAGGTATTGCTGTTGGAAAGAAAAAAATATCACTTAAGATAAGCTACATAACTTTCCTTTGGACATTCACATCCTCCTCCTCCAATAAAATGTACCAACCCTGAAACAGCTGCTCCCCAGGATGAGGAGTCAGGGAACTCTTCAAATGCTAGATTCATAAAATGTCATTTGGCCTTCATGGATGTGTCTTGACACCCCACCCCCCAAAGGAAGCCTTATGCCAATAATGATAAGCCTGGGAATTCTGCCAAAACAGACTGTATTCTTTTCAAAATGATAATTTCTTTTTCTCCTAGCTTCAAAACCTAATATAAGGCTTGCTGAAAAACAACTAATGCCAGTGTATATTGTCAAAGTACCTAAATCCAGCTCAGAATCCCAGATACACTGGCATGTACATTTATTGAAATGAATTTTCAATAAGATGAACAAAACATGACATGCCATCATAAATCCTATCATAATTTTTATGAATCTTTATGAAAAAACTTTACATAAATACCCCAATGTTTTCTTTACATATTTATACCAGCATGATCTCTTGCCCAATCTTGGGGAAGAACTAGCCCACACACAGCTGGAAGTTTATGGCTCCAAGTATTTTCACAGATGCAAATAGAGCCATCTGGACCATCCCTGCAACAGCCCTTCTGGAACAAAAGCTGCAGCAGCTTCAGCAGCAAAGTAAGTGAATGCTTGCAGCTGCAGGCTGAATTAGGGCCCAGCTGAGAAATACTGGCCAAATTTAAAATGCTCAGAGGCAGCTAGTATAGTCAAATATAACTTAATTCCACAATGTTCCTAGACCTTCTGTTCACCTGGCCGTATAAAATACTATAGCTAATAGTCTTTCAAGGTCCTCTGGTTATTTGCCTCACACCAAATAGAAAAATCTGAAAATAAAATACATAACATAGAAAGTTTCACATGCCCACAACTGCCTAGAATGAAATGGAATGGAGATGGGGATAATAATTAGGACGTTATCAGTTAACACTTCTGGTGCATAGTGTGTAGCAGATACTGTTCATTGTGCTTTTCATATGATAACTTAATCTTCATAGCAACAAAAATCTGGGGGCTGGAGTTGTAGCTTAGTGGTAGAGCACTTGCCTCATGTGTGTGAGGCACCAGGTTCGATTCCTAGAACCACATATAATAAATAAGCAAATAAAATAAAGGTCCATCGACAACTAAAAAATATTTTTTTAAAAAATCTGAATTGTGTTCACTCAGTGTGTTAAAAAATCATTCAAAAATAAGACTAAAAAATACTAAAGGGTGAATATGTATGATAAAAGACACTAGTTGGCATTAACTCTACTTACCATATATAAGAGAGTTCTGGGATGGAAAGCTTCGATTTGGTGAAGAAGTTCTTGGCCACCGAACCTATCAAGAAGTCATTGTTTAAATAAATCATTAATTATTCATCTAGAGCAGCTTTTATATTTATATGCAAATAAATCATCATTTTTCATTCAGCAACCTCTACCATACAACCACAAACACACTTGTTCCTCAAAACAACTACAAATAACGGGACTAAAACCAGCATATGTCTTGCTTAGCATAGTAAGACCCTGGGTTCAATCCCTGGGATGGATGGATAGATAGATGAAATAAAAACAACGTATGAAGCAGGTTTTCAAAGAATATATTCATCAGAAAAGGTTAAAGCAGGGCTAGGGTTATGGTTCAGCGGTAAAGCGCTTGCCTCACACTTGCGAGACCCTGGGTTCAATCCTCAGCACCACATAAAAATAAATAAGTGAAATAAAGGTATTGTGTCCAGCTACACCTAAAAAATAAATATTAAGAAAAAGAAAAGGTAAAAGCAACAATGACATTCATATGACAGATGCAATTCAGATAATTACTTCAAATCATTATTACCAAAAAACTGCAAAATTTTATTCAAAATCCAAAAGACAAATTTCAAATTATTTATAAAGGGTGGAAAATTAATATACAATCATGGTAGAAAAAGCAAGCAAAAAGAATAAAATTAGCACCATGAATCCCACCAAACAAAGACACACCTTCTGGACAATATTTTTTTGTCTTAAAATAAAAAATAAAAAGGGCTGGGGCTAGGGTTGTGGCTCAGTGGTAGAGTGCTCACCTAGCATGTTTGAGGAACTGAGTTCGATCCTCAGCCCCTCATAAATGTAAAATAAAGATATTGTGTCCAGTTAAAATTAAAAAATAAATATTAAAAAAATAAATAATAAATAAAAAGGGCTGGAGCACATGGCTCAACAGTTGAGCGCCTCCTGGGTTCAATCTGCAGTACAAAAACAAAAAACAAAAAAAAACAAAACATCATATTAGATCCAAACCCACAACTCAAGGCCTGGCCTGGCCTGGCCTTCAGACAGTAAAGAGTCACTTGTAACCATACTGTTCCAGAGAAGTTAGGTGGAACTCATAGGGAAATAAACAGCTAAAAAGTTGAACTAATGCCTGGCTGCCACTAGTAAAGCCTGAGGGCTCCTGCCTTTGATCTGCCCTAATGAAAAATATAAACCCAAGCCCCACCACCATGCCATCATAAAAGGAGACTCCATTTAAGTACAATTTTCCAAAATAGGTAACTCTATACAAAGAGAAGGTAGATTTGTGGTTACCTAGGACTAGGAGGTGGGGAAGGCAGGAATAGGGTATAACTGCTGACAAGTACATGGTGGGTAATCAAAATGTTCTAAACTTACATTGTGACTATAGGCTGTGAATATACTAAAACCACTGATCTGCAAACTCGCAGTGGTCAATTCATATGGTATATGAATTATATCTTAATAAAGTTTGTTTTTTAAAAAAAGAGATAACCTAATCATAATGTATTAAACTCTCCTAACTATAATCAAACTTTATTTAGAAGGCATTTAAGAGACAACCAGGGAAATCTGAACAAAGAAAATCTGATGTTAAGGAATGTGCGGGCCAGTGAGGTATGTTTTTTTCAAAGAGACCTTATCTTTAGAGATACATTATGAAATATTTTTAAAATGAAATGGTATGACAATTGCTCTTGAAAATCATCCGGGCTAAGAGGGAATACAGATAAAATCACTGGTGCTATGTGATAGGCACATAGGGGTAGTAACCAGTCTACTTGTATCTACATTTGAAATTCTGAAAAATAAAAAATTTGAAGGAAAATAAAAACATTTCTAACAAGTACTTATTTTGTATCTGGCTAAATACATTGTGAAGAAAATCACTAAGAAGGGGGTAAGGTTAGCAAGTGGTCAATATGTATAATCTGGGTTTCTCCTTGCTTTTTTAAATCATGATAATAACATTAATTTGTTATATCTACATTATTCCACCTTCAATAAAGTCATTACCACCAGTCAGCAAGTAATGTTTACACTTATTTACACAAGCATATCTCCATTACACATCTTATTTCATAGAAGACTGGTCTTGGTTGAAATTTAAATATGTCAGGTTATAACTATCAAGAATATACTGTTATGCTTCAAAATTGACATATTAAAAAAAGACAGTTTATGAATTTTTCTTCCAAACTCTACTAGTCACTATTAGCCTTCAGTCTTATAAAATATAGGCACACAGGAATTAAATCAATTCCTCTCAGCTGGAATTTTGCATGAGAATTCAACAGGAATACATATATCTGAAGATAACCAAGAAGAACTACATGTAGGAAAATGCTGGTCAATTTTCCTCCTATATTTTATTTTCTCAGAAAAAACAGAGGTGAAAGACTTGAGCTGAAGAAAACAAGCATGAATCTGAACTTCTAAGGGTGTATAAAACATAAGGAGACTCCTCAGAAGGCTATGCTCTTGTCCTTGCTCTGACTCTAAAATAATGAATAAGCAATCTAAGGTGTCCCCTTGGTGCTATAATCTGCCATTTCAAGAACTGCTGCAGGGGCAGGGGTGGGGAAAAGATTTTGAGAAAGTAGACAGGGAAGATTATTAGGGTAGAGAAAGCGGGTCAGAAGGAGGAGGAGGGAAAAGGGAGGTTATTATGGAGTGATACTGATTAAATTTGCTATATGCATGTGCAAGTCTGTCACAATGAAACCAATTATTGCATACACTTAATATGCACCAAGAAAAAAATAGTACTGTTTCAGTTAATAAGGTGCAGGGTCTGGACCAGTTTCTCAAAAATTCCCATTTAACCTCTTTGAAATAGAAATATAATTTTCCCAAAGTCATTGCCAATGTTTTTTTTTTTTTTCTGTGTGATTTATACTTGATAAGAAATTCCACGTTAGAGGGCTGAGGTTGTGTGTGGCTCAGCGATAGAGCACTTGCCTAGCATGTGCAAGGCCCTGGGTTCGATCCTCAGCACCACGTAAAAATAAATAAAATAAAGGTATTGCATCCAGCTGCAACTAAAAAATAAATATTTTTTAAAAATAAAACAAACAAAAAAAGAAATTCCACCTTAGAAGAAAACAAACTGAAATCACAGAAGGTTGTCATATTCATTCTGTATAAACTATTTCTCATGATGTTTACTGTAATTCACATGAGAACAATGTCCAAGGACTCCATGTTCTCACCTGAAATGAAGGAACTTGGGTCTGGCTGAAGGGATCTGAACTGATTAACATAGTACTCCCGCTGTTCTTCTGTTACCCTCCAGGGTTCATCTGGGTAATTACTGTTGTTATCCTGTAGTTCTCTCTCCACTGAAAAGGACTTTAAAAAAAATAAAAAGGAAATGCTCAGAGAACCTGCTTTTAGTGAGATGAAGGAAAACACATCAACAAAAATGTTTTTAGGCATTGTACTTAATTTTTTCCCCAAGGGAATAAATCTAACTGCCTCATAATTATAATGTGACTGCAACATCAATTTATAGGTAGACATCAAGCTTTATACATTTTGTTTTCCTCAATGCTATTAACAGGACTGAACATGAAATATTGAACCCCTGGTGAATAACAAGAAAATTTTCCAATGTCATGAAGGAAGGGTTAAAAAAGAAAAAGGTCTATCACTCTTATCTCCAACTATTCACCATACTCTTATCCTTTCAGATCAGTTGAGTCTATGATAAAATAATCCGGATTCTTTTTAAACCAGGAATAAAACCCACTAGAACATCTATAACTACATGATCATTTTTCTGTTGCATTCATACAGTGTAAATCCAGGAGTCAAAAGCTCCAATTGAAATCCTGTGTCTCAAGGTCCTGCATGAGTGGCAAGTCAATATCACAGACCCTGTCCTTCCACGTTTATAAGTTGGGGATAACACTAATAGAGCTGAGTGATGAAAACAATTGTCATGGTACAACAATAAACAGGGTAACAAGGGGTGCATCAGACCTGCCACTAGAGGGCGGGCACGTCAAATTTGAAGATTAGGAGCCCAGAAAATCAGAGCAGCACAGAAGAAAACAAAAGCTATCCCAGGCCCTGGGGAAAGAAACAAAAATGGTGATTCGATGATTGGAGGAAAAACAGCAAGGGCTTTGTTTAACTTTTCCCATCCACTCCAAGATTTAGGTGCTACTTGCCAAGGGCCACTTTCACGGTACCAAGAAGTGAACATCAGAACAGTGAACTTTAGGATAAAAGGAGAATAGGAAAGAAGCGGGGTGGGTGATTACTACTGAGGAGTCATCAAGTTGCCTGCTTCTGAGCACACTGTCAGGAAACTAATCATTGGGAAAGTATTCTACCCACTATCTGCAAAAAAGACAGCAAACCATCTCCTTTGTCCCCAACTCCCATAAACACAACATTTCAGAAATTAATGCTTCCCAGAAACACCTGTCTCCCTCTCACAATGTGGGGAAGAAAGAAGGATGTATAAAATTTTGAGCTGTGATATAACCTTGTGATGTCATATTTGAAGTAAAATATCACTCTGATACCTGAAACCTTGGACTAAAGGTACTTTGAGAGGGCTGGGAGAATGAGATAAAACTCTGCCAGTAGAATGCATATTCCTAGAAGTGCCAAGTAGGAATATACCCAGCAGAGGGGCTGCTCTTGAAAGAAAGCATCTGTCCCTTTAGGACAGTCACAAGGAAGGTCACATAAAGGAGATGGGAGATACATGGTTGTTAGTCATTAATAATCATTATGTCACTTTCTACTAGATTAATTTCTACCAAATGTAAATCTAACTATTTTTAAATGCCCAGGAAGTTACTGTCTACAAGTTAAGACCTTGAGTTCACAGAATGCTTTGACATTTATAAAGAATTTCACACACCCCTCTTTTTAGTCTGTCCAGATTTTTTAAAGGTAGGCATAGCAAGTATTATTTATTATCCTTTTTCCAGAGAGCCTAAGGGACTGGCCCATGTGTTAGTGAACCCCTGCACACAACAAATAATGACCTCTGTTTTTAATCTTTGGTTCAAAGTCAAGTTCCTGCATATCAGAATGTTTTTTAACTAGTTTGCATCTATTTGAATTTTTTTAAATCTCTATCATTCTAATAATAGACAAACAATATAAAGAAAGAAAGCAAGAAAAATTAAAAGTCAGAGTACTCAACAGACCCACAATTTCCAAAATGTTCCTACCAAATTCCAAACCTCTGCCCTAGCAGCACTTTCTGAATGAACCCAGATGTTTAACAGGGTTCAGAGGTAGAACACAGGATGGAGGGACGCCAGCTGGAACTGAATTGGATTACAGGCCACATTATAACATGGAGAACTCACAGGAGTACTGCCCTTCAAGTCACCTCTGACAGAAAGAGTAAGAGCAAAGGAACCAGAACAGCGGGGTGTAGACAGAAGAGACAAGAATGAACACTTAGGAGTCAACAATGAAGTGGGCAGTGGTGGTTCATGAAGCAAGCAGGATAAAGGTCAGAAGATTGGCCCCGCACTTCCCAGTGAATAAAGGCACAGAGGTCTCCATGCTGAGTGCTGGTCTACTGCATTTCCTGGTTGTGAAATGAAAGTTCCTTATCCCCAGGAATGCACCACTTCCCTCCTGGTAATGAAGCTGCCCTATCCAGTTGTTAATGTCAGTCCATGTTTGCTCTTTTGCAGATCCATGACCACCTTCTCTTTCTTCTCCCTATCACCTCACACCTGGGGAGCCTCAGTGGTCTCTTAGTAGATCTCAAGGCTATTCTGACCAAAGGAATCAGAAATGAACAGAACAGAGTGATTGATTCCTCTGCTTACAGAGATGACCAATCCACTTCCTCTATCTGGCCTTCAGGACCCTTAAAATCCAATGTCCCCCTTGCTCACCCTCAGCAGGCTTCTGATTGCCCGTGTACTCACTATTTATAGGTCAAATTTATGTCTTCTCCTCAGGACACTTTTCCTCTGATGCAAGCTGACTCAAAATTCTGCAAGCCCCAATGCCCCAAAGGTTCTCCACGTATCTCCTGTGCCCACAGCAATAATACAAGGCGCTGCCTATTCCCTGGCCCATCTACAAAGGTGGAGCCAGCAGCCAGAGGTGGACCAAATGACCCACCACATGCCTGGTCTCACCTGACTGAGTCAGGTAAGGGTGGGTGGGCACACAGTGCACTAGCCTTTGAGGTGCTCTGGCACGGAAAGCTCTTCTCTTCCAAGAACAACTTAGGCCAGATGCTCATTCTTAGAGATGTAGATAAGAAGTAGATAGCTTAACAAGTAGAGAAAGAAGAACCTGAACAAATGAAGAGCAGAGTCATAATGTGGAGAAAGGGCCAGTGGGATTCAAGAGGGGGTTAGAACCAAGGATGAGAAGAGCCTTTAAGGAGCAATACTAGAGTAGGGGACAAGGAAGGCTACTGACAGTGCAAAGGAAGAGGCCAGGAAAGCAAACTCAATGCAATTAGGCAAGGTCCATGATGGCAGAGCAAGCATGAATAATCAAAAACTCTACCTTTATGGACCACTGGGTCGGCTCCCTATCTCTCATTTCTTTGGATTCCCATGAGAATCCCAAACCCTCTTCCTTTTCAAGAAAACTTAAGTTATCAAGGAAAGCTTCTACTCCCTAGAACCAAAAAGGCATTATGACGAAGAGAAAAGTCATATGAACACTGTGTAATCCATACATAGTGAGGTCCTTCAGTTGTATTCACTAAGTGAATACTACTACCCTCTCTTTCCCCTTGCTCCTAAATGTACATTTTGAAATGGTTTTTTAAAAAAAACAAATCATTTGTGTATTCTTTTAAAAAAATATGTACCTTTTTGATAATTATGGTGAGCATTACATAGTTTGAACATGTCAAGTGTTCCTAAGTATCTTCACATAGGTTTCAGCTTGGAGGGCTAGAATCACATCAGATACTCCTTTAACCCACATACAGTCCCTACCAGGTACATCACAGATACCAAAAGCATCTGAGGTCCACTTATTGACAGGCTTGACTAAGTTCAGGAGCATGTCTCACATTGCAACATATAGATATGGAAACTGCTCTGTGTTGTTATGAATGAAAGAAAATCTCTGAGTCCATTTTATATTTTAAAGTTTGAGAGCTATCAAAACAAAACCATGTCCTGTACTTCACCTATGATCTAATCTTCATGGAGGTTCTCAAGTTCCATATCTAGTAAGCATCTGAAGTACCAAATAAGGGCATATGGAAGGAGTAGATGACCTTCCACACACCATTAAGCTGAATCATGCCAAAAGAAAGCTGATCTACTACAAGAAGCAAAGTCCTATAAACTTGAGTGGATCAACAGTGACTTGAAAATGCATTAATTCAATAGATACTTACTAAATAGCAACCATATCCCTTTGTGACTACAGATGGGCAAATAGATTCTTTTTTCCCAGGATGTCTAGAATTCAGTGAAGAAGAAAGACATACAACCACAAAACAGCAAAAAAATGCTTTAATAAGACACTCTAGAACTTTGCTACTCAAAGTGTGGTCCCCGTTTGCATCAGTACCATGGGAGACCTGTTAAGAAATGCAGACTCTCAGGCCCCACCCCACACCTACTAAATCAGAAAGTCTGAGAGGGATCTAGCACTGATCTAACAAGCTATCTAGGTGATTCTAAGCATACTGAAGTTTGAGAAGCAATGCCATAAAATATGCAGGGCAAGGCAAGGAAGGGAAATGGTATTTGCGAAGACACTAAAACATAAAAGAAAATGGCCATTTGATAGTAGCTCCTTTGGGCTAAATATAGACAGAGTAAGCTGTCAGCACAGCATGGATATTAGTGCAGATGCCTCAAGATGGTACAGACAGACAGAAAGCAGAGCCCAGAGTTACCAGGCTTAGACTCTGTCTTGAAGACACTAGAAAACCACAGGTAAGTATTAGACAGGATAATTAAATAATCATATTCAAGTTACAGAAAGATCTCCTCAGTTAGGAGAATAAAACAAGAGACTAAAAAAGCAGGAAGAACAATTATGGCCATATCAGAAACCTGGAACAGACGTCAATGGGGCCCAGAGGTAAAGAGGGACTATAATGGGAATAGGAGAAAGAAAAAAACACATGACCTCAAGCAGCAGAAGGCCTATTCCAGGTATCTGAGTATCTTTTGTCAGCAGCTAGGGACCATCTCACCACAGGACCCACACGCATGGAACAATGTCCTCCAACAGAATCACAACAATCAATGCAACTTTTTGGAAAAAGATCTAAAATGTCAGTCACTTAAGAGAGAATGGCTAGTTACAAAGACTGAAGGCAAAGATGAGGGTGAATGCTCTTGGAGCCTTCGCCATACAAGTAGAAACCAGGAAAAGTT